ACTACTACTACTACTACTACTACTACTACTACTACTACTACTACTACACCTAATAATAATACTTTCAGGCTTCAAAGTGATGAGCAAACAGATTTTAAGATTTCCAACCAAAAAAAAGAGACAGAAGAAATTGTATGCCTTCAAAATTCACTTTTATTGTCTGCTTTAAAGGCACAGTAGGCTGCTTTGAGCAGGGCAATAACTTTTCAACAATCAAACATAGAAAAATCATCAACCAAAACTTTGACTTCGGCCTCTTTTAAAATGTTATGGTTTTTGCACATTCCAGGTACTTTGATAACAGGAAGACAAAAAGCTGAAATGTTGGCTTTTTTTGTTTTGTTGCACAGAATATTTTGAGGTTTAATGTTTCCTCCAACACTTTATGCAGTTCACAGTTGACAAATGTCTTTCTATAAAGCTAGTATATAGTGGAACCTATTATGTTGTTTATTTTCTAACAGCATATAAATGACAAAGTGCTTCCAGATCCAAATTGTTTTAGGTAGCTTGACTACATTCTCTTTCTCTTACATTCTCTTAAGACAAAATGGAGGATGGTAGAGGAATTCATTCAACAAGAATAGGAAATATACAATGCCTGAATATTATATTTGCAGATATTTATTACAAAAATATTTCTAGACCATCGACTTTATAACTTCCACTTGTTATAGTTGCATGATAGTAATGTATAATTTGTCTTTACTACATTCTGTGGCATGTATGCATTATCTACAAAAACAATAAGGTACCATTTCTGTGACGCATCAAGTTCTGCAGATTTTTCTGGTGCACAAGCAGAACTTCTTCTGATACTAATGCAAAGCCTCAGCATGCAGCATAGAAATAGACAGTTCGGGATTAATAAGAACCTGTCACTGTGTCCACATTGTCCTCCCATAGTCTCAACATCTTCAACAATGCGTTTTTTAAACAAAAAAAGGGAAAAGAAATAGTTCCAGCTTTAGAGTTATGAATGATGGGAACCTGTGCACACTGTGTATAAAAACAGGGGATGGGGGATCCGGTTGTCACTCAGAAACGGACACAGCCACTAGTTTCTTCTGCGCCATCAAAGTCGATTCCTTCACACAATGACTCCTTGAAGAAAAAAAGGGGAATGCCACTGTCATTCTCGAATGAATTCCTTGCAGAAGCAAATCCATTTGCAGGCAACTAATGATATCCTCAGCAGCCTAAGATAACTTAAAAATTAGGTCATTGTTTGAAATGTGGTAAATTAGCCACAATATTGTGTTTTCAATATGTGTTGAAATATTACTAAGTTCAAAAGCTTCTCTATGATAATTACAATATAAACTGTGTGTGTGTGGCATGCAATATAAGACTGTTTAATGTCCAAGTAGAGTGCCAATGTTATTCTGTTGAAATTTCTCTAGAACTCAAAAGTAACATTGAAGAATTTAAAAAAATGTGTTTTACTATGCAGTTTTTTTAATCAAAGTATTAAATAATCGAGATGTGATATTGCTACTGATAAGGTCGCGGAGGCAAAAGAAAACTGAAAAAAACTTTCGCTTTGCAGAGGTGATTGTAGGTAAAAAACAAACAACCAACACAAAAACATAAAAACAGAAGTAGACCACAAAAGTTAATGTCCACAGACATGGATATGAGATGAGGCGTGGGAAAGAAAATGAAAGGCCTGCCACAAGTACTAACTCTCCAAAATACTCACTGACAACCGCCTCCTATCCGAGTCTGTAAGACAGGTTTAGAGAAAGCGGGGAAAGAGAAAGACAGATCGACATGTAGAGAAATGCACACACATGGTACTCACAAGGCAAAGCCAATGATGACACGAGACGTACAAATATGAATATGCATTTAGACATTTCAGTGCTTCTTTTAGCCTGACTAAAACAGTTAAAACGTTTCTCTCAACATGCTAAATAACAATTCACAATTTATTTCTCTTGCTTTTTTAAACTGAAAGATCACTAAGCGTCCTATAAAGATAGGTTGTGGAAATTTGCAATAAAAGGCTCCAGATGGTTGTGTGTCTTTTGTGTTAATGCCACGATGAGCTCTCTTGCAAAGTGGTGGCATGCTGTTCTGCATATTCAGGCTTGGGACAGCATTTTGGTGAGGCACAGGCCATGCAAAAAAACCCATCTAGTAGGCACAGCATTAGAGAGAAAGAGAGAGAAACTCATTGAAGATGCCAAAAAAACATGCTCTGAGAGACAGAGAGAGGGTAGGGGTGGGGGGGGGGATTAATGTACGTCAGTTGCAACACAGACACTAAACCACCACGAGGATCCAAAACTGAGACGAGGCAATGCTTGACACAGGGTTAACAACTGCGGCGGGACGCGACTGATCACGGCTAACGGTGACAGATTTAGAGGGTTTGCCTGTAACTCTGCCACTAACTTGGCTTTGCAGTCCCTCTGGCATCAGAGCCGACGGGGTGGGGGCCAGAGGCAGCCAGGGCTGGTTGCCCGCGCTGTAGAGCCGGGGACGCTTGACCTGGTCGTGACTGGACAAGGGAGTGTAACTATTCCGGCGGTGTATGAGAGCGGAGTCCATTGGAATGTTACCCTGGTTAGAAGATGAAATACCGCAGGTGTTAAAGAAAAAAGATCTTTGGGGGACACACAGGAACGCGGGACACCAGACGAAACAACAGCAAGGTCAGAAGCTGCACAAAACATGGGACAGGGCACAATAAACACCTCCATCAAGAATATTCAAAGATGGCTGTTAACAGCTCAGATTTAGCAGTCTTTGTTTTTCAGATAAGCGTAATCTATATATCAGGATGCAACCAGAGCAATGGAAGCTATCAGATCTGCCACGCAGCATGGCCAGTCTCCTCAGGGACCCAAATATCTGCGAAAACTGCCTTTTCTTTCAATCCGTTGGACTCACGGTTTGGGCCAGTGGTTACAGATGGGGAAGGCAGAGCAAAACAAAAGGAGGGTATGAGGAAAGGAGTCAAGAAAGCACAGGCTCACAGGTAAGGGATGCAATGTAGGTGCACTGCTTTCGGGCTGAACTGAGAGACACAACAAACAACAGGTCACTAGACTTCCAATTATTTGTTGAGATTTGCTCAAAAACTGAGAGCAAATTTGATTTAAAAAAAAAAGAAAAAGGAAGCCATCATCAGGTTTAAGCTTTAAAATAAAACAGACAGCGATGCATGTAAAATAAATGCCAAACAGTGACCACTATTTTTATTGATTTAGCTCAGATCAGAGCTACTTACAAGTGGTCGGTCTCGATGTGTGTTTACTGCCTCCACATTCAGGTAAAACATCTCCACTTTACAACCTACAACATACAAAATGCAGTGAATTTTGATCCAGTTTTTTTCTCTCTCTTTTTTTTTTTTTTACTTATGTTTGCGGTAATATTCTTTCCTACCATATGCGACAGGAGTGAGCTTGAGCACAGTGTGGAGAGGACATTTCATGTACGGAAGATCCTCTGTGAAATGAGCAACCCAGCATCCAACATTCAGTTTTCCTCTTTCATATATATATATATTAAAAAAATGTATTTGTGTGTGATTGCTGTATCCAATATCCGACCTGCACCCTTGTCCAGGAAGTAAGCCAGAAGACAGCGCATCACAGCCTGATGGCAGATCACCAGCACGTTGCCCTGTCTTTCTAACTCCATGATTACAGGCTCCAACCGCTGCACCAGATCTTGATAAGACTGAAAACAGAGGAGAAGATAACTTTTTTACTTGATAGAAATAGATTTATTTGATAGATACTACCAGCTTCAATTATAAAGATGTTAGAGAAAAAATGTTCTTTTGGCGTGAAAAAATGGTTATGGCTCTGAAAAGTGTTCAATCACCTCTCCTCCTGGGTAGCGATAGTGGTACTTATCCTGGTCCCTCAAAGCAAATTCCTCTGGGAATGTTTCCTGGATCATCTCGTAGGTCATCTCCTCACACACACCCTGTGAAACAAGAACAAAACCTATCTTCACCACGAGAAACAAATGTTTCTGTGGAGTGTGAAATAAAAAGAAAATGCAGCCATTTGTTTAAAACACAACATTTTTGTATGACTGGCTTATTTGAAAATGGAAAATATTAATTTCCCCACACAAATTAATGTGTTTTAGATAAAGGTTTGTTGTGCAATGTCAGTTATTGATAATCTGCAACAAACTGGCCTTAGTAAATTTAATAGGGGTTAGTAATTTTGAGTAATTTTTCTCTTAAGAACAAAATATATACGTCTGCTCTAAAATCTTTTAAGAACTTAAAAAAATTAGATAAATGAATTTAAAAAAATGATAAAAAAGAAGGTTGTCCCTTGAAAAACCTTTTTCTCATCTGGAATGCCTTTTTTCCCAAAAGCTTTCTCAGGCCTTTTCTCTCTTTACATTAAGGTTACATGTTAATGTTTGCGGTTAATCAAATCAATGTGAAATGGGCCGTGCTACACTCCTTTTTAACAAGACGTTTTTAGAAAATCACCCAGAACATATTTTCCGACCTACTCCGTGAAAACTGTTTTTAAGGGGGTCAGATGACTGGCTACTGACTGCATCGATCTCGTTGAGGATCTTCCACTGCTCGTAAGGCACCCCGAGCTCCTCGGCCGTCTGGATTGTTCTTCTCAGCTGGCTCGTCCACACCTTCAAGTCTGAAAGCTTGTGCTCGTCGATGAAATCCCGCAGGGCGTGTGCGAACTGGGACGCGAGAGACACGGGGAGGTACACGAAAAGATGGATTACAACAAGTTAGGGGACGTACGGGCGCTGGCTTATGATGGAGAGAGGGCCCTCGTACCTGTTTCCCTCGGGGAGAAAGTTCGGCGTCTCCGCCTATGCGTCCCTCCACGTTGTGGTTGCTCTCTCCGTGTCGACACAGGTAGATGGAGTGCGAGTGCACGTGGATGTTCATGAGGTAATAGACGATCTTGCTCTGGATGTAGTCCTGGACCCGGTTCACCAGGAAGCGCCGGCCTACGTTTATGACTTTGATGAGAGAGAGGTCCCTGCAGTTGCCGGTAAACACTGGGGGTTACTCAAATGGTGGCTCACCGTCACCATTTAGTTTATTTTCCGAACCACATTCCTCCACAAAATCGACACTGCTATTGAATTAAATACAGGTTTGTTTGATGGAAATTCTGAAAAATCTGCGTAATGGATTTCCTGAAGTCTCACTTGTCATAGTCATCAGGATCTAATGGTTGATAAGTGACCTTGTAGCACTCAATGCGTTTCAGGAAGTCGTCCATGACTCTCTCCCGGTGTCTCTCGGGGTAGTCCGGGCTGGACACCTTCACTTCCTGCAGCAGAGATGATGGAGCCCAGTGAAACGCTCTGAATGCGGCTCTGACATAACACCGCGCACACTGTGTGTATTAATAGATTATGGGCCCAGACAAGAAGTCACAGTCGGACCTTACAGACTGGTGCATGGCATCGGATCGTACCAGAATATTTGCAGCGATGACATCTGGGTCGTCGCACACAGACTCCACAAAGAACACCTGTTGGAAAAACGTTCAGAGGGTCAGTTTACACTACACGTCCCACAAAGCAGAAGCATTACAACAAAGTGTAGTGAGAGGAAAACTTTCTGACTACATTTATCATGCTTATTTGCATTCTATCTGGTAAGGAAATTTAGAGTATTTTAGAGTAAGAGTGTTGCATAATATGTGGGTAAGGCAAGGCAAGTGTATTTGTATAGCCCATTTCATGTACAAGACCATTCAAAGTGCTTTACAAAGAGTTTAAAAGCAGAAAAACAACAAAAGAAAATTACTCAACAAAACGTGATAGCTTGCTCAGGCATCCAGATGATCTCGTGTTTTCATATTACAAATAACAAATGATCTAAAGACCCTCAAGTTTCGCTTAGATATTTTTAAAATTCTGTATTCAGCATTGAACCAGAGTCTAATATTGATGATGGCTTTTCAAACCCCAAATATACAGTATTTGCCACTACAAATTCTTTCATATATCTTTTTGAAGTCTTCACACTATTTGAGCAGTGTTTACAGATCATTTTATCATTGAATGACACAGTTTCAGAATTTCTTTGGAATCTTCTATGTTAAGGACCTAAGAAATAGAAGGATAAATGCGCATATAAGGAATAATTCAGAATTAGCCCTCTTGTTTGGCAATAGATTTACAGTTCTGGCTGATGTCATCATGGAGGACTAAAGATCATAAAGCTTTACCTTGAATGCATTCTCCTTAACAAAATCTTGAATAAGATCACGTCGCTCTCTTGTTGTGTTTGTTGCATCGAAAACCTTCAAAACAGGGGAAGAAAAGACTGAATGTGTTAATTTGGCATTCAGTGTTGAGAGGGCAGTTGAGGATTAAGACTGCCTCAAAGCCAGATGTGTTTCTGCTCTACATTTCTTCGATCTGGACACAAGCCAGATGCACATAAATATAGAGAGATGACTCACTGCTATTTGACCTCCCTCCCCCGTCAGGTACGCCTTCACATCCTCCAGAGCCACCAAAGCACACTGCCTGCAGGAGGGAGGGCAAACACAGTCACTGAGTCTCACGTTGCACAGTACCATCATCTTCATGGTGTTTAGGTAGAAGTCATGTACACTGAGTGACTCCTGGGCATTTATCAGCCCACACTAAAACGGAAAATGTTTTCAGTAACAATTACTTCATTTTGATTTTATTAACCCTTTACGATATTTATCATAATTGATACGAAGATTTCTGAGATCTATTGCATCGTCATGAAGTAAAAATTTGTTTGAAAAACCCTGGAATATGGAATAATGTTTCCTTTTCTTTGCAATTTAGTTTATAAAATGTAAAATTGTGCAGAAAATATTGATTACACGTGATTAAAACACATAGATTACATTTGTTTGTATATCTTTTCACTTTAACCATAACTTTGGGTTAAAACCTTATTATTTTGTATCCATTTTTCTGTGGTGTAGTTTTATTTGGTTAAAGATTAAATAGATTAAATCTAATGTTTGGTCTTTTTAACTTATTCACTTGAACTTTAACAAATATGCATCCATTACTGTATTTCAGTGACTTTACACAGTTGAAAAAATAGTTAGGACGATAGAATAAAAAAAAGAGCAATAATAATGTATTTTTAACAGGTAATCAAAGCAACACTGGAGAAGAAGTTTAGTCCTTTTATGGGAAGAATACTATCAAATTCACCTGACATCAGGAGGAAAACTGGTAGTAAATCAATGCAGAAACTGCCTCTGGACAACAACTAGTCAAGTGACGAGACGGTTCCAGAATGAAAACATACAATTATCCACATAAAACACAAAGAGAGGACTTCACAGAGAAAACACAAAGACTTGAGCATGAGACACAAGCCATTCATACGCCTCAAGAATCTCAACGACAGACACGGCTTTACAAAAGAAAAGGAAAACAAAATCAAAAGCCAGAACTTTTCCAAGATGGACCTCTAACATATGAAAGGAAGATCAACTTGTTTCAGTGTGATGGGAAGAACAAGGCCCACTATTAGGACAACATCATCTTTAGAGCATTTAAAAGCAGGCTGTCTGCAGTAGTTTGAAGGGTTTCTAATGGCACCGTGTGTTATTTGCTCTTCATTTATCAGAAGACAGAGAGGGTGGGGCATTGTGTGCATTATGCGGCATCGGTTCATTACACAATAATCTCCAAGGACTCCAAAACACTCCAGTAGAATTTTATTATAAAGAGGTGGATACATGTGATACGAGCTTCTGTGCGCTTTGTTTCAACAAAACTGTAGGTGTGAAGACCCACCAAACAAACAACAGAATATAGCAGCAGTATACGGCCCGACAAAAGCTAAAAAATGAGCTCCACACTTCAACCGACAAAGCCTCTCTTACTTGTTGTGTTATTACAAAAACAAAAAGCTTATTGGAAACGCCTTCTGTTACTGTGTATTCCAGGTTGTAGCCCAGGTTGTAGCCCGGCCACGAGGCACCTTTGGGAGCTCATGCCAGCTTGGGAGTGACAGCGGCAGCTTGTTCAATATGCGGGTCACAATCCAGGGCCGAGGGGCTGTCAAGAGCATGTCACATTTTCACGGGAACCATGCATGACAACCTCCCCCCATTTTATTATTACCAATGGATGAAACCACGATAAAGGGGAAGGGGGTTCTCTTGATTAGTCTTTTTAAAGGAGCTCCGAACAGATTTGAAGTCACCAGACATACAAATCTGGTGCTCATTTGCTGGCGTTTGTGTGTGTGTGTGTGTGTCAGTTTAAGGCACAGAACCCTCAGCGCACAGTCGCTGAGTCTTGACTGTTGGCCAAAAAAAAAAAAATTGCTTAGTCACTGATGCTGCAGAGGACGCAGAGGAGGACCAAAAGGATTCATGCTGAATGGAGGAAATGCCATACCCACAGAGTTGATATGTTTCAACTGCTCTCACTGACAGACAATATGGTGAATGTCCTTTGTAGTGACTGAAGATGAGCTTGCATGCAAGGGTGCGACTTACTTTCTTATTTTCATGGCTTCCTCGTTGTCGTGGCGGAAGAAATCATAGGACTTATAGGATTTGACAGCCTCTCTGCGGTACACACCCAAGTTAAACACTGAAACGGTAATAAATGACATCAGCACAATCTGTCACCGTGCTGCCGGCCTTTGCTGTTGCTGCGATATGAAGCTAGACATCCTGATTCATAAAGTGATCACAAAAGATCATAATCAATATCAAATGTTCTTCCCTCCTTTGGAACGACAACTTACGCTGAACCCAAGGTGAGAGTTTTCATCAGAGTAATTTTTATTTCTGTTAGCAGTTCTTTTGTCACTTAAAGTGACTTAAAGTAACTAGAACTGCAAACATCTGATCAAGGTCAAATAAGCTCAATAATACAATCATTGTCATCAGAATACTCTAAAGTTTTCTAAGTTAACTGAACCAGATTTCACCAGATTCCACTTAACAACGACTACATGAACGCTCAAATACACCACATAGCCTACCTATCCTGTATTGGAAGATTTTCATTTAAACATTTATGTACAAATGTACACTTGATATCCTCATTCTTCATATGTGATGCTAATATGTCCCCTCTGTATAATTCTTTATGAACATTTGTCAAGTATTGGATATACCCTGTGTATATGTCCAGCCCACCAGTTAGATGTATAAATATATAGTTCTTTGTTGAACTTAGTCATAAATGGGTATATATCTCTTATATAATAATGATGCACACTAACATAAATGTAACACTTGACAGGCATTTTACAAAATAAAAAAAAAGCTTAATAAAGGCCCTTAATATGATCATTATGATCATCATTTAAGTTGGAATAAACTACAGCACCAGAATTAAAGGTCTATAATCGTTCATACCTTTGGTCGGGACGCCGATCCAGTTGAGGTAACGTGTGAGTTTCTTGGACATGTAGGTTTTTCCTCTCGCTGGAAGCCCGATCATCACGATCACAGTGGGAGAATTTGTCATGTAGGAGGCCCATGCTGCCCAGGAGAGACATGCACACTAATAAACATCCAGCAAAGACAGATGCTGCTGTAATACATTCATTTATTCCATTGTAATCACCTGCGTTATGAAAATAAACAAAAATCACAGCATGTTGATACATGTTGGGTCTGGACACAGTTTATGAGTAATTCATGTAAATACTTCATAGAAAGGACGGGTTGCGAAGGAAATAATTAGGCCATCTGCCTTTTGGACAAAAGTAATACTCTCTCTGGACGCAAAGATAATCTGTGCTCCGAGTTCACGAGATTTCTGAAATAAATTAAAAGAACAAATTTCCTGAGAGACCGGCAGTTTTCTTAGAAAGATGTCACACAGTGTATTTCTATATCACCGGTCATAATTTCCATCGGTCTCTCTTTGGCCATGCCACTTTCTCACAGATATATCTATTCAAGATAGAGCCTTAATGAAGATGTTTCCCAACAAAGGAGGGACTTTCATTGAGTCCAGAAGCCCAAATTGCCTTAGTCTTAGGTTCCAGCTGCACCTGTGGATTCCCACAGTGAAAGCTGAAGTGGCTCCAATCTAATAATGAGAAAGCTGGAGTTTACTTACAGCATTTCTTCTCATTTTTCTTGGCATCTGTTGAGTTCGTGGAGGGTCCACCGTCTCTTTGGGTGCACGACATGTTGAAATTCCGATTTCAGTTCTTAAAAATCTGCGCTTCTTCAAAGAAGAGACATGGCCCGAGCTGATCTGGAGGCAAGAGAACCCAGAAGGGAAATCGGCTGGATGTGATGCATGATCTCCACACACGTGACAGAAAAATATTCGTGCAGGCTAAGCTGTGGGCATCTGTCTAAATTGTTTTCTTTCCATGAGCGTTATGGAAATGGAAATGGCTCTATGTAACCGTGGCAACGTCGATCGGACAGTCAGGAACAGCGGAGCTGAGGATGAGGAGGAAACGCTGTGCTGCCACATCATCCCTGCTGTTAACAAAAAAAAAAAAAAAAACCTGCTCTGCTTGAAGTTGCGCTTTATTCAGCCGCAGCAACATCCTAACTGTAGGTCAAACAGTCTTAGTGTTATTTCAACGCAACCCACACAAGACGCGTATCTCTTTGCGCAAAAAATCAGCCGCCTTTTTTCCCCCTTTTTTACCTGATCGGTAAGCAAAAATATGCCTCCGCAGACGCCCGGGTGCCCAGAAACCCGCCCGGAAACCTCCGGATCCACAGCAGCTCCTGTCCTTGATGCTGAGATGCGTCCTGGGCCGCTGCTGCCTGCTCAGACTCTACGTCAGCCCCCCCCCCCCCCCCCCCAACCCCCCCCCCCCCCCCCTACCGTAAAGCTGAGAGCAAAATCTAGGGCAACACATGCTGCACAGCCCAGTGTTAGTAACTGAGATACAAAAAAATCCTTCTGGCTTTGCAGAGGATCAGGAGCTTTTTTATCAGAAGAGCTGGACAACTAAACAATAAAAATGAAAAAAAAACAAAACAAGTAAACACACATATTTGGATTCAAAACCCTTTATTCCCGTCTATCAAACATTTAAAAAAATCTTTTGCATAGTTATTTCATTCAACAATCATCCTCCATAGAAAAAGGCAGATAGTGGTCAAAGAGCTATTTACAAGTACCTTACAAATCCACCAGATAAAACAGAATCCTGAATAAATAAAGCAAAAACAGTCATCCCGCCACCACCCCTCAGCTATACAAAAGGTTAAGAGCCCTAATAAAAGATCATTTAATACATTTGCCTGCTCAAGTTAGTATTCTGGCGCGAGATAACAACAGCTTCTTCAGCGTGTCCTTCTTCCAAAGCAGACTGTGTACGGTGTCCGCATTTACCCGTCACCACGAGTTCACACGTCTGTCAAAGCCACGTTTGTGAATCGGGATACCGCGGATACTTGACACGCTCTCCGAGGCCAAACCCGTTGCTATATTAAACCGCCCGCCCGGGAACATGCGCGGTCAGAGGTTAGGCACGGCGTTAGTGGCGTGGCCGGTGGAAACTTCCCTGCCAGGTCAGCTGAGCGGCCCCATAATGGAGCATGTGTGATTGTCAGAGCATCTCTGGCCTGTGAGGGACTGAGGTCCAAGCCTGAAGGCGCGGTCAACAAAAAAAAAAACGAAAAATCCCGTCAGTAGGTTTGTGCACTTTTTGGATGTGGGGAGGCGTCTGCAGCAGACGGACAGCTTCGGGACTCCAGTGTGCGACCGTTACTGGCTTGCTGTGCTCACTTTAAGGCTTGATTTTCCACAGCTGGATAGGAGAAGGAAACAAAAAGATATTTTAATTCAAGTAAGGATGCAAAATAGAATGCAGAAATAGTTCACAGCAAGAAAGCCCTTTATTTGACTGTGTTGCAGAGGTATCTGTGCATAATGCTTGTCTTTTTAAATAAGAAATATAAAACCCTGTTTTGAGTCAGTATAGAGAGCAAGTACCGTGTTGTGGGTGTCACTAATGGGTTAAATGTTTCTATTTCCATGTAAAGAATTTGTTTTAAAAAAAGGGTATTTTTCATATATTCTACCTTGTTTTAATGCTTATACCTCACAGGTTAGTGGTTGTTCAGAAACTTGCTCAAAGTTTTACCATCATGAAACAACTTTAACATACTGTTAAGTGAATTCAGTTAATAGTTTTAGTACATCCCCATTTCAGGGAATGGAATCCCAGATTCATTACAGGAATTAATTGATATTAGCACATTTTGACATTAACATGAAACCAGTAGTCACATTGACTTGAGAAGACAGTCTTCACAATAAAATAATAGATGCTTAATACCAAGTAAAATGAAGAGTTCCCAACTGATAAATACCTTCTCTACTGAGAATATTTCTCCCTGGACTTAAAGGACCCGGACTAAATATTCTGCCTCATTTCAAAGTGGAAATCTTGGTGCTGTTTAAGCTGAGCAAAATATATTCTTAAAAATGATTGATTCACTCCTTTAGAGGCATGCTATCCACTTCAAAGAACTTTTAAGCCAACTTTAACACATTTTTTTCCCACAGTCTAAATATGATGTCAGCTTGCCTTTCAGATTGCCTCAAAGAAAGCCGGGCAGATTTCAAATATGTCCTTTTCCAACACTAAGTGTCCATCATTTACAGAGATATATGTAGCAATAATACACATTTTAGGATTTATTCTGTTAATTCATAATAATGACTCCAAAAGGCTCAATGATTCAGGGATAAAAAGTTGAAAAAAGAAAAAAAGAAACTGGAGCAGCTGAGGCAACCGTGAGCTCAGCTGCTGAAATCTTGTTTCATTTGACCTGCTGACAGTTTATGAAGCTGTTTACTTCCTTTTTTTGTCGTTGTACAAGCTGCTGTAATTATGACATCAGCTTAGCCACTCACTCTGATGTTGAAGCCGAGCAGGTCGGTGATCACCGCAGACACAGCCGACAGGATGACGACCTTAGTGATGTTGTAGATAAGAGGGTTCACAGTCAGCCCCAGCAGCCTGAAGGGAGTATCCAGCTCCTGGAGGAGGAAAGGAGGAGACCAATTTCTGACATGAGTACTCACAGAGGTCAAAATAAAGATCAATGAAGGATTTTACTGTGGACATAAAGTTATCACTATTCAAGGCAAAAATAAGTATACATCCAGGATTTATGGGATAAAAAGTACCAAAGGTACAGTGCTTCTTAGCCTCGAAGCCTCCTTACCTTCATTAGCTTTGTTGCCAGTTTTAACACGTTGTTCACGATATTGAGTTGCTCTTTCTTGTTGGGCTTTTTCTCCATCTTCAGATACAAGTTAATCTGGAAACCAAGGGGCAGTTTTACACACCGCGAGTGGCTAGCTGCCTGCAGAGGAAAGTCCTCTGCAGGTGCGACCTTCTGGAGCCAGGGGGCCTCACCTGCTCAGTCAGCAGCACCGAGGAGTTGCTGTATTTGCTGTTGGTCTCTGATCCGAGCGTGGCCAGGCGCAGCAGAAAGAGGGTGAGGGAAGAGCCCCACACCATGAGCTCCCAGTTGGTCAGAGACTCGAGGAATGTCTTGTGGCTGTGCAGAAGCTGAGATGGAGGGGAGTGTGAGAATAAGGTTTTCTTTGCGTCAAATAAATCTTATAAGACACACTCCAATCTACGGTTAGATTTTTTGGGATTGTTTTAGCACCGTTTCTGCCTCACAATCAAAGTTATGTGCTTTATAACGCCATAAACGACTGACCTGGGCACAGAGGATGAAGGAAATGGAAAGCGCCAGCAGAAAAATAGAGGAGACGATGACGTCAACGGAGCGCTGCGGCCCTCGTCTCTGCAACAGGCAAACGTGACCCGGCGTTACAAAGACGGGTTCCTGACCCCTGTCTAATAAACAGTGCTGCAGGAACAGGGATCAGGGGACAGTTCATGCGTAATACACACCCTGAGAAAGGATCGGAGGGACAACCACATCTTTATGTTCTGTACTTTCTTCAGCCTGAAATGAGGGATCTCAGATTTCTTTGCCTTGCGAGCTGACGTCAGATGGCTGAAGAACTTGGCAAATAACAGCCTCTGTTAGGGAAAGACGGAAACTGGAGTCACAAAGATGTGGAGAAAAACTGGGATTTAGATAATCAAGAGCAAATCAGACAATTGGGATACTTTTCCTTTGATTTACTCATCACCCCTCAGTCAGTTCTGATTAGAGTTTAGATACAAAACTGTACATTCCCCATGGCGAAGACTTAAAAACTCAGTATTCTGCACATACAGAAGTCTGTCATTTAAACTGGGGACCTATAACAGAAGATATCTTATGTGTTAAATTTCAGAAATTAAAGAGGCAACACTCTTTGTGAGAGAACATATCACCAATTGGTATTTTATGGAAGTTCAGCCTCTCCAAATCGTAGTGAGATAAATAGGACTCCCTTTACTGTCAGTGATAGAGAACTAATAGTAATAGATTCAACACTAAAGACATTACTTGCCACTTAAAATGATGAACAAGTGTCAGAGAAATTAGATATTTAGAGTGGAGAAAATCCTGTCTTTCTCTCAGTGCAAATAGAGTAGCTCCATCTTCTGGCAGCTTCTGCTATTCAGCCATATTAGATCAAACCTTTCTTCTCCTTTTTTTTTCTGGTGTAGCTAACTGCTAAGACCTTGAGTTACTTTTTCTGTGGCACTGAACACCTTTTCTGCTGCAACAGTGTCGTGCTTGTAACCAAAATATAATGAGTCCATAATGTAAGGGCAAGTATATTGGTTCCATATGTGAGCATTTTGTAATAAAAAAAATAATGAGATGTTTTTAAAAAAACTATTTCAGGAAATGAGGGCGATTAGAGCACATTCAGTCCCATTATTCTAGGTTCCTTTCAAAGACAGAACAAACAAAGGTAATGTTCCAACGAGGAATGCAGGTGGTTGTAAATGCATTTATGGATTAAGATTTTTTTTAAAGTACATCCGAACAACCTCAGTCAGTTGAAAAGAAATGAGCAAAAAATCAAACGAGCAGCAGTTACCACACACCTGCTTGTAGGTTCTCTCGGCCACACACATCATGAAAAAGAACAGCCCCGAGAGGCAGACTCTCTGGACCGTGGTGATAAGGAAAAAGGCATAAGCCTGGAAGTCCAGCGGCCCCAGCGCTATTTCCACCAGCTGCATGAGGGAGTGCGAGCTGAGGCTGGACATGTCCAGACGCTGAGCCAGGCGGAAGGCGAAGGGGAGCAGCGCCAGGGTGGCGGCCATTATCCCACTGAAGACAAGATAACCCAAGCCTTGCTCCACTAATTTCACCTGAAAAGAAGAAAAAGATACATCTGAGATATGAGACAGTGACGTGCCCGACAATATAGCCATTAGCTAAAGTCAATGAGAGATTTAGCCAAAGTCACATTCTAGCAATCTTTAAACATTTTTATGTCTTATTCCATCTTAAATGGAAGCAACAGATGCTTATTCAGCAACATTATTTATTTGGGTACAGATGCAGCTGTAATTAATGGATGTTGGTTTAATGGTTTTAAGTGAGTATTTTGGTAGACGAGGCGTGCAACATTACTTATTTAAATTTTCCGTAACGCGTTCAGGTATTACTCAGATACTTAACAGAAATGTTTTAGGGTAATAGAAAAAGAAGAAGGAAATGTGTACTCGCGTGAGGATGATCCCGCTGATCTCCAGCACGGACATGTCTGCTTTCTTGCATTCGCCCTGCTCCCATATGATGGCACTGACCCGGTCCTTGGATGGATGACATGCCTGAAGCCAGTTCAGCTGACTCTGAGGTATCAAAACAAAAACCTGGTTAACAGCGTGCTTAAATGGACTGTGTAGCCCTGCAATGGGGCTTTTTTAAAAAGGATCGAAAAACAGTAGTTGAAAGAGAAAAAGGTTTTCCAAGAAATACGATGCACCAACTAAAGGCAAAAAAAATGAAAGAAGAGAATGGGATATATTTGGATATTTACACCGGGGATTCCTTGCTGCAGGCTTTCATCGTCACTGCTCAGATTGGTGTTATGTGGGGGGGGCATTCCGGGGTTATACCTCCCGCTGTCCTCACTGTTGCTGCTCCCTGTGGAGGCGGAGTCAGGATCCTGAAGGAGCTCCTCCCACATTGTGTCGTCCGTGTCGGAGGCCGGGTGAGAGCCCAGCTTTGGCCTGAGGCGCTCCACGGCTTGAGGCTTCCCCTCCATGGACGCCCCGCTCCCTTCCTGCCCTCAAGCCGAGCAACGCATTTGTGTTTAATGTGACAGACTCAACCAGCATTTTGCAATCTTCCTCAGAAACTAAAACCTTTCTTTATGCCTCTGTGGCAGAGTAGCAAACGTGCATCCAAAGATGCCTCAACATCTTGAATTGTACTATGTCTGCACTATTTGATCCCGCAGCTTACGATTTACCTGAGGCCTCAATGCAGACTTGGGATTAGACTTTACGTTTCTTTTCCGGACAGAAGGCGCTGATAGAGAGGATGGCTTTAGAGTTGCAGAGTGCGTCTCGTGGTGGTGCTGCGATCTAATTACTTCCACTGACTGCGTGCTCTCCTCTTCATCACTGGAGAGCTCATCAGACGTGCCAAAGCCCGGCTGATTTTTGCTCTGAAAGAAAATATGGTCACATATACATCTTACATGGGAGGGAAGAAAGATGCAGGTTTTTCCAATGTTAAGATAAAATGTGTTCATTCTCAACCGAAATAGAAAAAACACTGGATACAAATCAGGTTGCTTTAGTCAGACATGCTCAGAGCGCTCTGTGGGGCTCACATTGTCAATACTACAACTAGTTAGCTCCTCATTTTTTAAAGTTTTGTTGCATTTAAGTTAGTAGAAATGTGGTGCCTGTCAACTCTACAAAAAAATCTTCCATTTTTTACTGTTTGTGTGTAAGACAGAGACCAAAAGGCAACGGAGAACATTCGGCTCCTTTTCTTCTTAATCTGGTCCACATATCAGAGAAGAAAAATACCTCGTCTCTGTATCTGATAAATCCCACAAGGAAGATGGTTTGACAGATTCATTACTCTCTTTAATTATGTTTTAAGTGGGGCAACTAATCTAATATCATTCTGAAAGAATGAAACTGGGGCTGGTTGTCTGCAGATCAGTTAATGTGACTGCATGTGCCGAGATGTTCTCGAATGTAAGTATCTATTTTGACGCCGTTGTCCTAAGATCACAAGTTGATAAATCTGTTATCGGGAAAACAAAGCTCCTTTCTGTATGACAACATGCTAATCTATCTCACCGTTTCGAGAAACCGACCTTCTGTTTAAGTAGAATGTTAACAGAAGAAAAGCAGCCTTGAGAGGTTCCTGTGTTTACACCTAATTTCATCATCGCTGTCGTGACAGCTGGGGGGTGTCGGGGCTGGGGTGGGGCCATCCATAACATTAAGTTGAAGCAAGCATTTGTTCTGCTGTTTGCTGATGGGTTTAGTAAATTTGTGCTCTTCAGAAGGAAGAATGGCGACTGCACTCCTCTCCGGCCATTAGCTGGCATTTAGGCCGTCTGGCTGTTTGCGGAGACGAGACAACAAACACATTTAACACGGACAAAGCAGCAGCAGCATCAGCAAAAAAATAAAATAAAATCAACCTACTATCTTAACAAACAAAGCTTTGTTACCCCAAATAATGATGGAGCTCTGTTAGCTTGGAATGGAGAGATGGTTAACTTGTGGTCTTTGCATGGAAGTATTCAAAGCCCAGTCTCTAAGCTTCCGGACAGCTCAGGTTTGGACCACGTTCAAACTGATCGGTAAATCTCCCCAGGCCTGACCTGGTAAGAATGCTGTCAAAGACTTTTGACAAAGTCAGTTGACAAGCTCAGTTGGCATCAAAAGAGTTGGACGGATCATGAATCTGAAAAGGGATTTACTGGGTATTTCAGACAGTGGCACACGAGCAACTAAAATACACATCTGATTCTGATCTAAATAGTTACTTAATACTTATGAGGGTTAAGAATTCTATATATAGATGTTTCTGCCTAGAATTAAGTAATTTGTGTGCGTTTGTGCATTGGGGGTTTGCAAAAAGCATCCCTACATGTTGGAACAATTTCAGATATCTGTGGAACGTTTTGAGCTATGAGCGGCTCCTGGCTTTGTTTGGGCTCTTCTCAACCCTTTAGCTTTTCCCTCCCATGACAAAGACAAGTCAAAGTGGGCAAAGAGCTTTATGTTGGAGTGTTATTAAGCCTTAACACAATAAAAGTTGCAACCGCAGCTGTGATAAGGCTTTGGGAGGGGTGCATTAGTACCCATTCCAACTGAAAATGACAGAAAACCTTCAGTTTGCAAGAGTATAAATAGCCCTGAGCCATATTTTGTAACAACAAATCTGCCCGGAGAGCATCTCTAAAGCTAATTTTCATTTTGGTCATCTTCATCCAAAAGTAAAAAACAAAAAAAACAACTTAAATTGTTTTAACTGCTGAGACTTTGACTCTTCTATCTGCCACACTCCAAAGTGGATATAAGTATAATGGACCGTACCCTGATTTCCTCTGTCCTAAATAATCTCTGGCTTTCTTCGAACTGCCATGGCCCCTGAAGGTCCGCGTTCCCATTGTCACTCTTTTCTTCTGATTTTTTCAACACTCTGCTCTTCCTTGGCCTGAAAGAGACAGAATGATGATAACAGTCAAATAGAAAAGTGGGTAGAAGGAGCCGTGTTTCAGTCATATAAGTGTTTCCCGAACCACAAAACAATGCATTTCTGCCACTCAAAAGCCAGCAAGTTACCTAAAAAACCGAGTGTCATTTTACAGTTCAGTTAGTGAGAAGACTTTGGGGTCACATGTGGGAGGTGGGAGTCTGTTGGTATAAAGCTACCTCCTCCGGCGTGCGGGGCTGGAGCTGCTGCTGCTGCCCGCAGACGGACTGCCTAAAGGACCCCGGCTGGACTCGGTCGACACAATCTGGCAGTGCACGGTGCCCAGCAGCAGCAGGAGACACACGGGCCCAAACACCTCGCTGGCACTCGCCCTGGGGACCTCCAGATACAGCGCCACGGCTGCCACTGAAGGGAGCAAAACATTTGGCAACAGCGAGCAAAAACGGTCTCACAGGGGAGACATTACAAAATAATTCATGTGCACTAATCAGGTCTCCTCTGTGCAGCTCAGGTGTGAGCGCAGAACAGCTTTATTGTTGGGCAATAATGAACAATGGTAAACAGTCAAGGAATTCAAATTATTGGACTGGATTAAAAAGCAGTCACCTGACAGTGACTATAGTCACCTCTGAGCACATTGTTAGGTTTAAATAAATAAATACATATCGGTGTGAATCTAGTGACAACCCAGTTCAAAGACAGGGATATCTAGGACCTGACAGCTTCAGTGTAAAGAAAGTTGAGAGAAGGAAAGAAGCATCGCACTCACCTTGCATCAAGTATAAGATCAGGATACATGAGAAGATGGACCTAGAGGTCACCTGGATCCACCACCGGAAGAAGAGGGGAAACAGCAGAACCCGGACCAGACCCTTCCTGGTCAGAGACGTCCACGGACTCTCTGGTTTGGCTTTGCTGAAAGTGGATCCTGAGACAGCGACACAGTCAGTCAAACTTTTATTTCATTTAAATTGAGAAGTAAGCCTAAATGGAGTTTGACAGAAGGTAAACGCCCAATGGGTCATCAAGTTTGGTGTCCCAGGCTGCAGCCCCGAGTGCTGTCTGAACACCCCCTGAACCTCAAAACTGACAAATCATCAATTTAATAACAAGATAGCATGTTTTGCTATGGACACTGTAGATTCCTTAACAGGCACAATTAGCCCGACATGAGCGTATTTGCCACAACGTTAGGAGTGGTAATCCTTTAGCTGAATCTACCACTCTGAGGAGGGAGACGTAGCTAAACTCTGCATCATTAATTAGAGGGTTTTCTTCCAAAGGGGAGCAGGTGCGGCAGACCCTGGAGGAGCCAGAGAGGTCGCCTCCTGTTACCTCAGCAGCAGAATTGAGCTGCATCAAACACACATTATGCGTTTGCCCAAACCTAACAAGTAAACCAGAAGCCTTATTTCTGCACGTTTGACCTGGATAAAAATAAATGGAAATTAATCTTGAATGGATTACCTCTTACTAAATCAACATCAATTAAATCTTGCTTGATGTGACATGTCCTCTTTGGTTTGGTCTCCAATCCCTAGATGAGTAGAAATAGTTGCCTCAGTTTTCAGACGATTTAAAATGCAAACATTTATTGTTTGGCAAAGAAACATTAGCGTCTTACACCAAGATCCGCTTTCTCCAGCGATTTCTCCCAGATTTGTTGATCGTAGGCTCCGATCTGCAATGAAATACTTTCTTAAATACCTTGAATGAAACAGGACACCTGAGTTTGTGAAGACTTTCAAATTTCTCAATGTTAACGGTAAGTAAAATCTAAACTATTTTTGGAGTCATGTTCATGGTAAATGATCTAAATTAAAGGACGACTTAATTCAGAAATGATATGTATGGCATTAAAAAATACGGTAACAAAAAAAAATCAACATCAACCATGCATCAACTATATTATTTAAGCTCAACTTGTTTTACAATACAATATATAGTTTTATAAATACATTGTGTTATTTAAAGCTCATAAAACATTTTATATGATAGAATAATTGCTTTATTTTGTGGTAGGTTGGTGAATCTCCTGGTTCAGCTGCTAAAGACACTTAAACACAACAGACAAGGATAATAATTTCAGAATAATCTTAAAAAATGTTTCCTGAAGGATGATAAAGTAGGGATACATTTTTTGGTTTTTCAGGTATTCTTTATAGGATTTTACTCAGGACAAAGGATTCAAATTAGCAGACCTCTGTTGAGTAAACCATCTTCATTTCCACATTGCCGCATACAATATCAACTATTCAAATCCACTTTTTGAAGTTTCATAACTGTAGTTTCAGTTTCTCCTTCAAATGCATGTTATTAATCAGTCAAACAGCATTTTAGAAACATCTTTTCTATAAATTTTAGTCCAGATATTACTCCACTCTGACACCTCTTCACAGGGGGCAGAGGTAGTCTCACCTTTTCTTGATACCAGGCTATTCTGGCCATGGCTCACCAGTGGACTCCGATCATGTGATTTCACGGCAGCGAAAGGAAAACCGGGAAGAAATACAGATGCGTTCACTGAACCGACAGAAAGAGGCAAACAAGCAAGTTAACATTAAGGGAAGTGAATGCAACCAAAGACAAAACGAGCAAATAAGCCGCATGAGTGAGCACCTGCTCTCGTAATAGTGGTAAAAAAAGAGTCGCCAAACGGCGTAAATTACTCACCCGATAACACACAGCACGGTGGATTTAGCCCAGGCGGGTAGAAATGGGTGACCATCACAACACTGAACACTTTGTGGCCATCAGTTTCTCCGGCGTCGCAGCATCTCGTCGCCACAATGAGCTCAACGGGAGCCTTACATGCTGTGAACTTTACCGCCTCAAAGACGTTTTTTGACCCCAATTTGAACACCACAAAGTCTCTATTTTAACACATGTCTTCTCTTTTGCGTTAGTGTGTTTTCCTAATGTGTTTATGTCGGTACTCACGGATAACTCCGCTACTTCCTTTTTCCGGGTTTTACTTTGTTTTTGTAACGATGACACTATTCCCTGCGCATTGCCTGTCAGGAGCAGACGCAGCGCTTTCAGGGACATCCAAAATCCTCTTAGCGGACCACTGTATTTATTAAAAGGTCATCACCCCCCACTATCTATCGGGATATATCAATAATTTAGTTTTTATATGGGCTCATACATACTTGGCCGGATAAGCCCACGTACTTGTGGCTGTCGCGTGCTGCCTTAGAAGTTACAACAAGAAGCAAATTGTTGCTTTTATTCTCGATGTTTTGTTGCCAATTGGAGAGCAGCAAAACAAAGCAATGACAGCTTGGGCCTTTGTCGCGCTAACAATGGTCAGAGGCACAAGGCTTTTCGGGATTGATAAATCAGCCGCTGACTGTCATGGGTTGCTTTAATGCCCTGCAGCTTTACGAGTACACATAGCAAGCTGATATCTGATCAATTCGAATGATTGTTAGGTTAGATTTAAAACATGTTAAAAGACCTGAATCCTATTTATGACAAAAACATGATTTAAAGGATTACCTCACAAGATGTTTAGAAAAAAATCAAAGCTTCTGTTTGTGAACAATATTGCACTGAAATGAGAAAACACTGCACCTCACGTTTTCTTTAAATGTTTTTTGCACAAAAAAAATCCTGAACCAACCCAGTTTAAAGCAGCAAATCTCTCAACTGACAGCTTGCACGAAAAGGATATTTAATTGACGTTTATATTTCTATCATGAACTACTTGACACAAACCAAATTGTGAGCGCATTTAACAATTTTTTTTTTGTTGCATTTTGCCAGGAAAAAAGCATTTTCATCAAAGCACTTTCTGAGGGGCATCTCACACAGCTACAAACATGTCACAAAGATGACCTGAATAAGAAAAAAATAAAATAACCTCTTCTACCTCTGCAGGCTGTCAAGACAAAGTCAAAGTTATTTGACATTTGACTCCTGAGTGTCCACCGAGGGCGCGTCGTGCTCGACTGCACACATTATCTTCCCCTTGACCTTTTTGTTGGAGGAGATGATGAAGTAGGGGCTGAGGGAGGCGTAGCAGGATGAGAAGAACACCCTCATGTCAGCCACCACTGGGGATACGTTCGACACGGTCAGCATGTAGATCCAGATCACGTTGTCGATGCCGAAGAAGACCACGTAGAGAACCACCAGGGTCACCACCGTTTTGGCCGCCCTGGTCTCTGCCCCGCCGCCCTGAGAGCGGCGAATCCCTCTCACCTGGCGGCTGTGGCGGTGGAGGAGCAGGAGGATGTAGCCGCTGGAGCCCACCATCAGGGCGACGAACACGAAATCCCTCCCGGAGACCGCCACCCCGTTAATGACGTAGGACAGACTGTCCCGGAAGTCCACGTGGCAGAAGCCCAGGTTGAGGGTGAAGGCCGGGACGGTGCCGTTACGTGGCGCCATGGAGAAGAAAGGGGCCGCGATGCAAATGGCCATGTTGAGGATCCACAGCCCCGCGAAGGTGGGGAGGACCAGGGAGGGAAGCGCAGGCTTCAACCTGGACAAGCGGGGCCCGGCGGGGGCGATGGTCACCGCCTGAAAAACACTGAGCATGCAGGTGATGCACACCGACAGGGCCCGGCCGATCCGGTAGGCGTAGATCACCACCTTGCAGCCGGGGTCGTTCAGGAGGTCCCTCAGCCCGAAGACGGTCATAGTCTGAGGGACGCAGCGGGTCAGGAGCAGCATGAGGTTGGCGAAGGCCAGGTGGCACAGGATCAGGTCCACGGGAAGGAGCTTCGGTTCTGTGCAGATGATGTTTGCGTACGCCAAAAGCACCACGGTGTTTCCCAAGATGCCCATGCCCGTTTGCAAGAGGAAGGAGACCCCTTTGATGGTCACACACAGGTCCATGACGCTCTAGCCTGCAGTAGTAGAGAACAGACGGAGAGGGAAATTTGTAATGAATACAGAACACACTGAGCAAAATACAGAATATTCGTAAACTATCTCTCACCTGAAGCTGGCCAGTAAAATCTGGTTCTGAAGAAAGTGTTGAGTGGCCTGGGTAACCGCAATTTATAATGCTCAAAAATCCTTTGAGTCGATTGGCCAAGATGTTAGTGTTCAGCCCACAGTTTGGCAAATTGCTCTAACAATCTAACTTTGACTCTAATGGTCTCAGAGGACAAGCACCACAAAGAAAACACTAACACCATCCTAGTACAACAGAGGCTCATAAAAATGGGGAACACCGATCTTTTGCTGAGTCATTCCTTCTCTTCATACTAACAAGCTTGCAAATTGGTCGATTCTGAGCTAAATCCAAAGTTTGTGAACTCATTTTCTCTACATTTTTTCATATCAGGCTTTAACAGTTGAACGGTTAATCAAGTAAGAAATGTCAGCAAATTTTAAAGTCCCAAATTCCAAGTTTCATCGGCACCCAATGCAAAAGGCTCTCAAGTAATGTGTCTTCATTCCTGGCATTACCATCGAATCAATTTAAAAGTGGAAAGCGAGCATGTGGACCTCACATACATCATCTAAATTGGAAAGGAGTTTATGAAAGAATCCTCACAACCATGGAAATGACTGTCCCATTTCAAAGCAAGAGCTTCTGCCTAAATAAAAACACATTATGCTTTCGCAACAGTGAAACCCAGCAGAACAAATTTTAGGGGATTAAAGACGTAGCACTGGAAAACTGCATGCCGTCTGAAAAAGCAATTTTCCTGCTGCTTTTGGTGACACTGACGACATGAAAAAGTAAGTGAGCTATCAGCTTCAGTGGATTTTCTCTGCACCGTTGAAAACACAAAAAGCCCACCCCTGTGGGGACAGAAGCGTGTGCTTATTGTTAATGTAGAAGACGCCATCAAGGGGATTTTAGACGCATTCTTTTCTTCATGACCAGAGATTGTCTTATAAGACACAGAGGGAAAAGACGATTAGCTATGTAACAGTGTATGTCCAATCTAATTGGAGGCACAGGGACAACCAGCCAAATTTAACCTGTGCTGTGTCAACGCTGGCAGGAGTTTGAGTTTTACCCAAAGGCTTTTTGACCGTTCCCTCTGCTAATGTGCAACAAAACCTTTGGCCTGTTGATCAGGTCTGTGGTGGTCAGCAGCAAACTTTGCTAACCTGAAACAATGTAGCTCGAGAAGTTCGTTTTTCTCCAGGGAGCGTGGTTTGGAATAAATCATCATTAGTGGGGTTCTTTTCCTGTGTGTCTCGAACATGTTTACACGTTCAGAGAGCTAATTAAAACGGCAAGTTCAAGCATGTCGATCTCAGGGGATTGCAGCATGTACTGTCTGCTGCTGTGCATCCTTAATGATAAACACTTTTCCCCCAACAAGGGAATTTTTTTTTTTGTTTACGAGTGATGCAAATTGTTTTTATCCGCTGTACTCATTCAGTTTTCTTTTTACGCTGATTTAGTCATTTAGAATAACATCCTCAGAGATATTAATCCGGTAAATCAAAGCTGATTGTTGAATAGTGAGTACCGTATACTGTGGGTGTCATGCAGTTTTGTTGGACGATTCCTTTTGTTTTTGAGCGCAAAAGGAAAATTAAAAATTCTTTATGGGACTCTTTGACACTTACCATGAACAAGGCTGTGTGAGAAACAGAACAGAGAACTTTTTCACAAGAGTTTTGGTAAAATGTTGCTTTGTTGCTCCTCAACTTTGTGAGGAGGAAAGTCACTTTTTAACATTTTGTTCCTCTAAATCTGCTCTGCCATCTTATTTGTTTCTGCACAAACACACAAATGGCGTTCTGTTGGTTTTGTTCACAGCTTTGGCTTGGGCAGTGTTTATTAACTTTTCTGAATACTGGCAGAATTCTTTCTATTCTTTCCAAATCTTGTGTATGACAAAGAAAAAGCATGAGGCCAATAATTACATTGTGAAAACAATGTGACTGCCTGCTTCTGAAGAAGTGAGGAAGGTTAAAGTGAGGCAGCACAGCCTCCTTCTAGCAAAAATGTCCTGATGACATGTTTGAGAATAACCAAAACAGGCAAATAGGATATTGTAGTAAAACATATTGTAAGATCACATGGATGTCTGTTGCTACTTTTGATTTAGGGAAAAGAAGTCAAACAAGTAAACAGAATATTTGCAAATTGAACCAACATCACTATCAGTACCCATGTTTCAATTCTAACTTTTGTGCAGGATTAAAAATTCAATGAGGTGATTGAGAACACGACTCGTGTAATGGATAATCATGCTCTGGCAGAGTAGGAAAATATCTCATAGTTTCTGTCGCAGACATGCCTCAGCGTGCTCTTTCCAGAAATGACCAAAAGATTCATTTGCACTTCCTTGCTGTGGGACATGTACATCACGTTTGCCTCCCCCCCACTCATTTATCCTTTCAGAACTGTCACGCTTTAAGTTTAATTCCTCTTTTAGAACTTTTTATGACACCGGATGAATTACACACTCATAACTGGGATGCTGTGTCATCCTGTCCAAATGAAAAATGGGGCGATGCATCAGACAGACTGAGCGGAACATCCTCCGGCTCTGAACTTGTTTTATCTTTCTCCACTGGGGGACACTGTGGTGTTGGTGTCTGAGCAGTGAAAACAGGAAATAGCTCCTTTACAATGTCTCTTAGAACTGATACAAATGGAATGGTGTAAATGACGGTCTAAAAAGAATCTATACATCAATTCAGTAATTAGAAAAAAAAAGAAAAGAAAATTAAACAGACATTTTTTGTAATAAACATGAGAATAAATTCCTTTTTTTGTCATATGACTAATTCAGTGTACTCTGCAAATGCATGCAGGCCTACCCTCATCTGTACTTCTTGTCTGATTCGAGCGAGGGGACAGAATCAGTCATGTGGATTGATCTCAAGTAATTGGAGGCCGAGGGAAGAGAAGTCAATGGACCATGCAAATCAAACCCAACAACCGTTACCTGTTTGGAAGTATAAGGTCACAAACAACCTCCCTACTTCAGCAGGGGATGGCAGAATGTCAGGCACAGGGCTCTGTTGTCACCTCTTGGCTCTTCCTTCTTTCAGGTAGTAGCTGAACTTTCTCAAAGAGATGGTTCTCATACCACTTAGAATGAACATCTGAATAGAGTGATTTATTCATTTCTTTCATACTCTCTTTCTGCTCTACAGGAATGCTTTCAGAGGAGTTTATTCGTGGGTTGCTTTATCTGTCGCTCACAGTCGTGGGGGTTCCAGGTAATGTTACTGTCATCATGGCGTTCCTCATCATGATCTACAAAGAGAAGCGACTTCTTGCGGCTGACGCCATCATCCTGCACCTGGCCTGCGCCAACCTGCTGGTGGTGTCTGTGCGCTGTCTGCTGGAGACCCTGGCCTCGTTCCATCTGGCCGACGTCTTTGGAGACGTCGGCTGCAAAGCAATGATCTTCGTCTTCCGAACGTCCCGCGCCCTGTCCATCTGGCTCACCTTCCTCCTGAGCGCTTACCAGTGTCTGAGCATCGCCCCTCCAGGATCGTGGTGGGCCGCTGCCCGTGCCATATTGGCGCAATATTTAGTCTTTGTCTTTCTTTTCCTCTGGGTCCTAAACACCAGCATGAGCTCAGCTGCCATTTTGTTCACTTTCGGCACCAAAACCAACTCCAGTTTACCCCAAAACACGGTTAATGTCAAATTCTGCTACGTGAACTTCCCTACAAAATTGTCCAAGGATGCGAATGGGGGAGCGCAACTTGGTCGAGATGTGGTGCCAATGGCCCTGATGACTCTGGCCAGCCTGGTGATCCTCGTCCTCCTCTACAAACACAGCCAGCATGTGAGAGGGCTCAGGAGTGGCGGTGGGGCAGGCGGGGGGAGTGGTGGGGCCGAGCAGCGAGCTGCCAAAGTTGTAGTGGTGCTTGTGACTGTGTACGTGATCCTCTACGGGGTTGACAACGGGCTGTGGGTTTACACCCTAACTGTGAGGAAGACAATGCCTTCCTCGCTGATCTCTGACTTGCGCGCATTCTTTGCCTCTCTGTATGCAGCGCTGAGCCCTCTGGTCATCATTGTGTCAAACAGGAAGGTGAAAAGCACTCTGAGGTTTGCAGCACAGAGGAAGTCTGTCCTGGAGAAAAACTAGAAGTCCTTCTTCTTTGTAAAGCCTGCTGGGATGGCTGATTGCTGGGAAAGCTCGAGTTGAGCTCTCCCTGATTTAGAAAAAAAAAATGTCTGGGTCAAACTGGGGTCTTTCTGTCTTTGAAATATACTGGGTAAATTACCTTTTATGCCAGGGTCTGCACTGACTTTTCTTTCCTCTGCAGAAGTGCTGGGAGGCTGTGAATTTATATGATGTGCCCTTTTTTTTACAGCAGACTTTTCAGATTTGTTGTTGTGTTGTAACTGATAAAAGCCATGGGACAGGTTATGCCATTGCCTGAAGTAAAGAAAACAGCCCAGCCCTGGTTTCTCCAGTCAATTTTGTATTGATTTGGCACCCACTTTGTTTAGTTATTTATTGTGTTCCCTCAATCTTATATGGATGGAAAATTATAACAGATCATTTAGTTCATTGTAACTGTCAAATGACTCCCATCTGCCTATTTAGCTATCATTAGGCTTTGAATGGAGTCTTGGAAATGTCCCACACTAATGAGGTAGGTTAATTGTCCCACTGAGAATCTGTTAAGAACCTTTTGGGAAAACTAAATTCTGTGGAGCGAAGATGTTCATTAGTCATTAAGGGACTGCTAATAACAATGCCGACAATGTCTGAGTTCAGTGGGTGCAGTTTTGATAAAAGTGCACCAGACGTACGCCTCACCACAAGCAACAGACAGCCTGATGTGGATGTGGCAATGTGCGAATTTAAGAGTCATTACGTAATTGCCATGACGTAAAGAATCAAGGACAGAGAGAAGGAGCGAGGACATAACAACCTTTGTGAGTGACAGTCAAAAAGACATAAAGTGGGGCTGCTAGACCTCCTTGATCTCGCAATAACTCTTAAGTGCAATCAGGACGGTGCTGTTCAGCTGTCACTGCAGGGCAGGTAAAGAGGAGGAGAAGTTCTTATTCTGTGCTTGTGCAGAACGATTGCATTTACCACGAAGTTGACACCAAAGAACATTAAAGGTCACATGTTTCATCACAAAGCAGCATCACTTTTAATAAAAGGGAAAGGTGGCAAACATTAAAACCCTTCAACTTTATTTTCTGAGGCTCTCTCGCGATGACAAATCCCATGTGTTCTACTCCTCAAACCACTGAAATCTGGTTAGCACTTTATACAGACTCCGGTGGAATGAAGGATAGAATACATGGATGACTTCATAGGATTGGAAACTCAGCTGTGGCCCTTGATGAGGAATCGGTTGGAACACGAAGACCGGTGTCTCCATTCGGTGCTTTCACCGAAGTCATTCGTCCCTTTTTCTGTAATGAGAAGTGACAGATTTGTTAACGGGAGCAACACAAAAGACAGGTTCCAGTGAAACGCATGTGCAAGTGTTTTTCTGTCTGTGAAGGGAGTGCCGGGCAGGCGTTTCCCTGCACATGACAGGACCTGCTTTCACTGTTTTTCATCCTCCCGGAGTCTTTTGAGCTTGATGAATGTAGATGCCAAACCCACGCAAATATAACCATCAATTAAAGTCCCGCTTCCTTCTTTACATCTTATTCCTATTTAAGACCTATATATGTAAAAGTAAAATTGAATGGCTAACAGATCCATTTTAACGTCTAACATCAAATAATTGGTGAGCAAAATGGAGAAATTCAACAATTAAGCAGCAAAAACGGACTTTTCCCTAAATAATACACTTGCAAATGCTACCTTCTATTTCTGCACGGTACAAACCTTTCCCAGCACAACACAACGAAAAACCCTTGAGTGGTCCAGAGAGGTGGGTTAAATAAAATCTCAAAATCCCATCAGACGATCCCGCCAGAGCTCTGCTGTGCCTAATGTGAGTCTGTTTACCTGCAGCAGGTACAGGCATTTTTGTCCCTGTGTCCACCAATGGCAAAGCAGCAGCCTTTGTCAAACCTTCCCCTTTTCTGCCTTGGAGCAAGTCCACACCCAAATTCTAAATCAAACCCTTCTCCTCCCCCACAAAAATCTTCCCAAATGACTCAAACCTCAGAGTTTGAATCATGGCTACCACAGCTTACTAGTCACAGGAAGGAAAAGTTGAACAATCAATTGGTTCACAACGATAGAAACATTTATTCATACATTTGGTAGTCACAAATTTTGTTTGGTTTAAAACACAAGCAGTTTGGACAACTTGAGGGTAAAACAAATCAACTTCCAAATTTTGAACATATTTTTGTGGTTAAATCAATTTGCAATAAACCTATCCCAAAGTTATAAATGGGATGAAAAATGAGACATATTGAAATAAATCCTGTTAAGGTGTGCTTTTGCCGCTTTTCTGTTCCTTCTGTGGGATATTTTTTTAGGCGTGCCTCTTACGATTAATTCAGCTACAGATTAAGTTTATGTTGATTGAGCAAAAAAAAAAGAAGTTTTTGCTCATTCCACAGGTTTGGTAGTTGAAATGTGACTGAAAACAGAAAGAAAGAAGCAAAGCAATCACAAGAGCCCCTTTTGGATGTTTAGATCTGTGCTATCATAGCACAGAAATGAGAATTCTGGTACATTAATATGCTCCAAAGGTGGGAAGTGACCCAATGAACAAATATTTTTTCATTCTATATTTGACGCCACAAGGTTAAAAGAGTTGGATATATGTCACCCATTTTCTTACATCCACCCATTTCAACTGCTTCCTCAGACCTGAGACGCATTATCATGTTTCAGCTTGCCTGGAATGCTGCACTGCACCTAAGCAAGGCGGTCTGCAGTCAAGATGGCGAGAGGAAAATTTGTGGGTGAGAAAAAGTTAGGCTCTCTCTGCTTGTTTCAACAGGGTTCACTTTTTTTTGGCATACTCTTCTCATCTTTTAGATTAGCTTAGTCCTAAACTGCAGATTTAGGGGTTTGATAGTTGTCGTGTCAACTGTCAACTGAGTTTTGAAGCATCAACTACAGTCCTTGATGGTTCTCAACTTGCTTTAGCACAAAGAGCCGAGAGTAACAGCCAGGCTGGCTCTTTTCAGTGATAAATATATCTGCCCATCAATTCTGAAGAAAATTTACACAGATTCTATACTTAAAATAACTAAAAATAGCTCAAGACAAATTTTCATGCATTGTATGAATATAGTATAATTTAGCATGTTTGCATGAGCAGTGAAACCACTGGACTGCCAAAAGACTATCTCAATGATCTATGACAGGACTCCAGTGCTGTGGATCGTGTTTGTTTCCAGTGCTGCAGCAAGCATAGACCAAACAGAACACTGGGTGGGGGTGGGGTGATGGTGGTTCATGGGCCTGAGGGGGAGCAGCTCGCTACAGCCCCACCACACTCAGGTAAGCTACCCCACAGCTTACGAAACAAAAAAAAAGAAAAAAAAGGAGAACAAGGAGAGAGGGGGGAAAATGATGGATTGCTGAGCCCAAGGTTTAGAAAACTGTACAAGTAAATATAGAGATCCAGTCATTTGAACTTCTAAGAATCGCTGAATATTGATGGGCTTTCACCTGAAAAATGTGAGAGACAGCTTGGATTGGCAGAAATGAAAGCTGAAACCTGCCCTGACGTGAACTGAGGCATCACATTAGAGCTTTCTCAAAACACGGCTCATAATTTATTTCTCACAGGTGAATTTTTTTGGTTTTATTTCGATTCAGTTAGTTTTACCAAGATCAAGAATCCGTTTGAGTGAAAGAGAAACATATGCACTGCCTTTTAGTGAGAAAAAGGCTTCACTGACATGTTACTTTTTAGTGATTCCTAATTTAATGAGCCAATCTGGATTCCCTGAGGGAAGCTGAGCCATGCTGAATGCAATGTGAAAGCATAAACCCAAGAGTCTGATAAGAAAAAGAGTCAATAATTGTAACAAAAAAATGTTGGAAACAGTGGAGGCTTGAAAGCTGCGATGTTGAAATAAATATTGTTTTTCTCTATTGTGAATGTAATGTTGAATCACATGCAAAACACAACTGTAAGCTGGATTTATCTGCCTACAAATATGTGTCAATTTTGATTTTGAGTTATGTGTAGAGTTTGTGTCAAACCTTTTAGATTCTTCATGGAGAACCATGAATCATACCATGGGTATGACTGACTATGTAGTTAGGTGACAACTCAAATCCTGCAGCTAAAGTAATAAAAAAGGGATTTCAGCTAACAAAGAAACAAACATTCCTCAAGTAGGCTACATGGTTTGGTCCCACAGAAACACTAAATCAAAATAGAAAAATTATATTTTATAAAACAGAACTACTCAGAATACCCGACTTTATGTTAAACATAATCATAAACAGTTTTCATTTTCAACATTTTACCTAGTTTTGCTTTTTGAAAAGCAGAGGGAAGCCAAGTCTGATACACATTAGTAATCAGAGTAAGCTGATTAACCAAAGATGGTAAGTCTGTTGTGCTCTGATACAATGATTCATCATGGTAATGAATAAATAAACATGAGCGGCTTCATTTCAATTCAGTGGTGTTGATGTGTATGCATGCCAAAACATTCCTTGGTATTAATGGCAAAAAAAAGGAGTAAATAAAGCCAGTAGTGAAATCTTATTGATTGTCAGTGTAATTCATTATCTGGACTAAATATTCCCCTAAAAATACATAAGTAGAATAAATAACCTTTTGAAACACATAATTAAATATACCATTAACTTCAGCATAACCTGAAAACCTGAAAAAAACACATCATGTAAAGAGTCAGAAAAGATTTTGAGCTAATTTTCACCAAATGTTTAAAACTTATTTTCAAAAAGAAAAGACAATTACAAAGAATAATGATTAGATTTTTTTTTTACATTATTATTATTATTATTATTTTTTTTTACAACAAATGAGTTATACAATCCACCTAGATCAACCTAATACATGGTGTCTGGTTGGCTGATATGGTGAGTGTCCAAGCAGCTCGACCAGAGCCAGAGTCCACTTTAAACTATCCATCACTATCATCTCTGAGTTGATACTTTGCTATTTTATTCATCATATCACCTTGTTATGTCAAAACCAATACTCTGTTACAAATCTAAAC